TTTGTGTACTGTGCACAACTGTAGCAGGGTCCAGAGAAATACCATGGTGGCAGCCAAGTGCTCTGTACTGCTCAGAGACCCTGGCTCCATTCTGGGCTAGAGCAGAATGCTCAGCAGGACCTGGGGTCTCAATCTCCCTCTATCTTAAAGACCAAGAAGCTGACTGCTGTCAGAACCATCTCCTGTATACAATAGCAGGATGCATTTATGCAATTGCTATCTCATGGCAAAGGATTTCCCATTGCAACCTTATTCTCTCAATACAGCATTGTAAAGGGGATTTCCTTGTACAGGGTTTACATAAATTAAAATAAACAGAATTCCTTCTGCTGTTAATTCTGATGTGCAGTGTCTTGAGTCCTCTCCTGGCTGCAGGAGAATGGGTCCTACAAGCTAGAACAGGAAGGCTGCGGGCAGGAAAACTCTCTCCCTGTGTGCAACTGGTTGCCTGATCTACCCATCAATATTGATACATGGAGTGTTTCTGAGAACAACCACCCTTTAGTCTTACAAGGGCAGAACTAGACTCAGGGGTAGTAGCAGTAGTTAGAAATAGATCTTTAACTGAGAATGTAATGAACCACAAACAATTCACTGTGGCTTCCTTTTTGCTTCTGATCTGGCTGGGACAGGAGATGGTCAAAGAATGGGAACACCTGGACTCTCGATGTCAGAGCTCCGTAGGTCACCAGGCTCCTTCTCCAACAGAGCACCTATGGAGTCCTAATGTAGGGGGAAAGTGCTGGGCTCTGGCATCACTGCTGTCCCATGAGGCTGCACCAGACCACTTTCATCCAATGTGGAGAGTCTTCCTGCCCTCCCTCCTTCCCATAGCTACAGTGAAGGGGGAGAAAAGCCTCTCCTCCCCCTCCCATGGGAACAGCAGCAACTGCTTCTTGCCTCCCAGAGTGGCCCGACAGGGTCAGACATCCTTGCACAGGCACAGAGGTAGTAGGCTCTGTGCTTTCACCTGCAGATACTCTTGCTTCCTTGCACCAGACCACACATGTTCATGAACACCATCTATTCCTAGCACATGGGCTTGCAGCTGCATGTGCTATAGTCTTGGGCAGAAACACTGCACATGCTTTGCCTCGGCACATTGTGCCTGATGTATCTGTGGTGACCCTGTGAGCTTATGCAGTTGTCTTATACAGGAGGTGACCCCACAGCTTCGTCTGCATCTCATATCTGCGTGCTGACCCTATGAGTTCATGCAGATGTCTTGTATCCACTGGTGATGCACAAATATCTTGGACAAAAGTGCAATAATCCTCTGAGTTTGTGGCGGGGTCTCGTATTGGTGTGGTGGTCTTGCAGCCTGCTTCTTCTCTCCTTGCTCCTCCTGCATACTCCTCCTGGGAACAGCCAGTCTTGGTCCTGTAGTGGTAGGATATTCAAAGACATCAGAGGTGGGGGAGCTGTAGGGGCTTCGTTCAGGCTCAGAGCTCTGACTGTTGCTCCCACATGTTTCAATGGCAGGCTTCTCACCATCCTGAATGGAGTGTTTCCTGGGCTGTCCCATAGACATCCTGACCCCATTTCCCTCTTATTTCTCAAACGAAAGTCATGAGCCTCAAAAGCAAATTATGGTAAAATCAGCTGTTGCTCCCAGGTTTGGGGTAGGTGCTAAATACAGGGCCCAGGGATGCCCTGGATTAGCTCTTGGCAACGTCCTGGAAACAAATTCCAGCCTTTGTTTAAAAATTTCCAGAGGTGGTGAATTCACCTTGGTGAGCCACTGTGGTAGTTAATTATCCTTGCAGCTAAAAATGTGTACCACGTCCCAGACTCTGTTCTGCTGTAGTCTGTGGCTGTGGGCTCCTGCTATGCACACCTGCTGGGCTGAGGAATCTACCATCCCTAGCGGTTGATAAAAATGCTGCATTGCCACTCAGAGAAGTTCCCAGATGCACGAGCCCTAGCTGCCACAGGGATCAGCACTGCCTTTGAGAACTGTGTCGGACCCTGCTGAGTGTGGGCTGGCCACGGAGGTGGCAGCTGGCCCTGGTTCCCGTAGAGTGCCTGCCCAGGGCATCAGCTGGCTGCAGGCACTGTCTGCCTGCAGGCAAGGGAACTTGGGCTGCTGGGCACTAGGTACAGCCACGATTCCTCTCTGCAGAGTGATAGAGACACTAGGCAAACTGTCTGGCAGCCCTATGCTTAGCTAATGCATTTAGCCGCACTTTCAGGTCTTCTGTTGTTTCTGTGGTTTTTCTCTGAACACCCTAGCATCACCTTTCCAAGTGAGAGCAGGATCTGACACAAATGGTTGCACCAGTGCTGGTAAAGCAGGGACATGACCTCTCTCAGACACCCTGTGGGCTTGTACACACAGAGTTTGTGTTAGACCATTGGTCCATGGTTGCAGCTATGCTGCCAGTTGCACATTTTTAAAATCCAGTTAATCACTGTCATGTTGATTTTATGTCATTCTGGAAGGGCAATTTCAGCTTTGCAGCAGAGTGTTAGGTCCAGTACGCTCCCTGCTTCTTGAGAGGGCAGCACAACTGGATGGGGAGCCCGTGAATGGGGGACCTCTCTGAGCATGTCTTGCCTGGTTCTGCAGCTAGATCTGGGTACTGGCAAGCAGCCGGTGGGGTGGTGTTGCACTGCTTAGTAGTGAGAGCTCATCTGTTTCTCTCTGTTCCCAAAGCTTGACCTGGCCCCTGTGGGCAGAAAGCTGGATTTCCAGATAGCTGCCACTGTGCGTACCTTTCTTAGCGCGGTGACCATCAGGATGGTTGGAGTGGGGAATCAGGGCTGCTCTGGGAACACCAGAGCCCTTGGCCAGAGGAGCCAAAGGAAAATGTCTTATTCTGCTCTAGAGCTTGCTGTTGTACGTGGCATTAAAGCAGCTGACGTGGACTTTAGAGCACTTTGAGATTGATAAGCAGTTCATTTTGAAGGAAAGGGGTTATTAATTTGCCACACAGTGCCTGTTTCAGCTGCTGTGGCAGCTCATCAGTGTCAGGAGCATTTCTGTTTGCGATGCCTGTGAACATTATCAGTTAAAACCCTGGCACAATAAGCAGCGTGCAGCTCAGCTGCAGTGGTTTAGGTACGTTACCCCAGTACGATACCCAACACGGAGCCAGAATACAGGTAACCTGGCCTTTCCAGTCACCTCTAAAGAGGCCATGTCTGGATTTGGTGTCCAGTTCAGGGGTCAGAAGAGAGGTATAAGAATAATTTCAAGTCTAGAAACTTGTCCTCCTATGAGACTGAGCAGAGCAACCTCCCCGTTTGGCTTCCCTGAAGAAAGGGTTGCAGCACCCATCACCACAGTCCAAATACCAACAGGCAGGAGACTCCCAGAAATACCAACCCCCTTCAATCTGACAAAGTGAGGAGTAGATCTGGAGGCAGCTGCTAAGGTCAGGCAAATGCAAGCTAGAAATAAGATACAGATTTTTAAGAAGGAGGAAATGAACTGTGGAAGCAGCTCATGGAGGAATTTATCAGATTCAGAAGCAGATAATGCCACCTTTTCATGTCCCCCTCCCTTTCCAAATTGGTTCTAAGCAATTATTTCAATTC